CTTTCTCAGCTCCAAACAATCCATGCAGTGAATTAGGCATCTCAGTACATCAGTCTAATACTATGTCAAACATGCTCTCGAGTTTCAAAGTAGTATAAATCGAAAACTTTCTATAACCTTGCAAGAGTACTAGGTAAAAGACCTGGGATCTTAAGTATAATCAGTACAAAGCCTTCAACTTAGGCCTTTCATGGCAGAATTTCTAACTTCACGTTCTCTATAAACTGGAAGAGGTAGAATGACCTTCAGGGTCCTACTATTACAGAGAATAAGTATTCAAAGATTAACATTTTTTATGTAAAATGCAACTACTTTTCTTTGAGGAAAAGAAACATGAATGCCTATGGAAAAGATGGAGAGAGAGAGAGAGACCAGAACGACTCTTAGTCATATCCTGTGGCCCAACAAACAGCACCAGATCTGACCATAATAAAGCTCCAATTACCTAACTCTAGGGGAGGATAGCTGGCATTTCCCTCTACCCGATGATTTAATTGGGCCTGTCAGCCAGCGATAATTGATTTCTGGTTGACTGAAAAATGTGACAGTGACATCAGCTCTCTGCTACCCTTCATTATTGAAATTCTTGTTGTCTCATAATAGAGCCTCAGCACAAAGAGTGCTCTGGCAGCTTTTACAGGTCTCTCGTCGTGCAGTACAATGGAAATGCAGCAATGTAAGACACAGGGAAACCTTTTCAAGCTGTTTACCCCATATGTTTTCATAATACATTTTTGAGAACGAAGATTATTTCTGTACATGAAGGTCTGGTTTTGCTTGCTTTACTGGAAGTTTGATAATGTTGCAGTCATGATCATCTAATGCTATAAACAAGGCAAGGTTTATTGGGAGAAGCAATACCTTTTACTAATCAGGCTGATATGGCTGGAAAAATAAAGATGATTTGGGGCACATGAAGCCTTCTTGAGGTCATGTGCCCAAAGCTGGTTCGTTTTTAGTTCAGAGGGTAACGTACACCATCTGAACTAATAAAAGATATTGCATTTCTCCCCAGTTCTCACCTTGCTTATAGAAAAACACCTCTTTGATGCTAGTGGCGAAAAAAAAAAAAAAAAAAAAAAAAAAAAAAAAAAAGTAAATCTTTGTTTCTTCTTTACACAGCTTCAGGCAGGGGGTACAGCTTTAATTTACAGTGATTTTGTATCACTGCTTGAGACTTACGTCAGTGGAGGGGCAAAACAGGTATTTCCTCCACCGTTATTTTCTTTCATCCAGCTTTCCTCTTACTTTCCCTCCTTTCCCCTGGGCTGCTGAGCACTAGTGGATCGGATGGAGCAGGCACGGATGACAGCACCACATGAACTGTCAGGGAGGTACATGGGCAATTTCTCTCTACTCAAGGATTTCTCCAGCTGCTGTATTTTTCAAAGTGAAAGAATTTTTGTAGAGAAAGCCTAGTACTGAGTTCAGACTTAACAAAACTCCTGCATTATTGTGACAGCAGTGAGCGTCTTGTTCCTGGTACCTGCTAATTTCACCTTGGGGCTGCACTGGTATAGCATTACAGAAGGAAACTGCTCTGTGAGTCTGTAGCTGTACAGCTCTCTAACTTCCATGCTGCATTAATCCCTCAGAAAAAAAGACAGCAATGGCCAAGATCATTGTTATTCAATACATACCTGCTGCTAGAACACTCGAGAGAACAGCCCAAGCAGAGGCACAGTGCCCGCCCTTCCCCACATTAAGCTTCTCAGATGGAGTGAGGCAGACTGATAGAGTAGGAGTGGATCTGACCTCCTTCTCTACACATTACACTTGCTGCACTTTAGAGAGGAGACAGGAGGAGAAGCCTGATCAACAGGATTCACATGTCAAACATCCATAACAGTACAACAAGTCTCCAGCTGTTTAGTGCCCCAGAGAGACCTGAACTGAGAGACTGGGGTGGTCTTTTCATGGCCTGTTTGAAAGAATTTCTTGGCAATGCTTCCAGCAATGGACTTCATTCAGCACTGTTGGCTAGAAAACTTGTTGGAGTCTCTAGACAATCTTATAACCCTTTCACTTCACAGCCTAATTTAAAACATTTGTGTGTATGTGGTGGATGGCAGTAAAATACAGAAAAGTATCAGACCAGAGGAAGTACAGACTTTGTGAGTTCCTACCTAGGTCTCACCCAACGTTGATGCATCTGGGATACAAAGAGAATGAATGACAGCATGGGTCATGTTTCAGTGTCATACACTGTGAACCCATAGCAAATTAGCTCTAAAATTCCTAGAGAGATAGATATTTACTTTAAATAAATGTTGTGGCCAAAGTGAAGGCAGCTGTTTAGAAAGGGATGTGAATGTTTATGCTGCTAGATTTATAACTGGGTACTTACAGTGAACACCTGTTAAAGAATATATTGGGAATAAACTGAAATTACTCAGCCAGGTCTTAAAACCTGCATGCTATTTTTATGTCATTTTATTTTTGTTTGGTCAGCAGATAAGTGCTTAACATCTGAGTTGATTCCCTATCTGCTTATTGTTTACACTGTATTTGATTCAAATATCTGTCATTACTAGTTTCATTGTATCTCAGAATTGAAGATTTTGAGATGGAGAATAAGTATTTGAAGATGAAACTGTCTTCTCCAACACCAAACCCTCTTGCACAAAGCTAATTCTTAATTTCCAACAATTCAAGTTTATTCGATAAATATACTATTTTCTTGGACAAAGCTAAACAGCTCCATTTGCAAATTATGTAGTCTCACATAGGTGACCAAGTGCCTGTTCTTGCATTGATGCTCTCTTTGATTAACATAAAAGTCAGCTTTTTTGTCTATGTAAGATATTCTATTAATTGGCCAGAAAACTTAGCATAAATAAGCACTGGAATAAAAGGGATTAATACAGTTAGTTTTTGCCTGTACCTCTTCAACTATAAAAGAATTAATGCTGAAAGAACCATAATTACCTAAGAGTTTAAGGACATTCTCTTTCCAGACCATAATTATTGTAGCAAAGCCAGCCATGGTAATGGATCACTTTGCATTGTATAATTTTTCTTTAAACTAAATCCTTCATGTAATATAAAACAGCAAAAAAGAAAAAGTGTTACCTAGGCCTGTGCTAAGCCAAAATGCCTGCTGAACATGTAGACTTTGGCAATTGGGACAGATGCAGGTGCTTTGTAGACTGCCAAGAAACCAAATAGTACTCAACACAGAGTAAGCTGTATCAGCAACAAAGAAACAGAAAACCTGGTAGTTATCTAGGAAAAAAAAAAACCAAAAAAAACGAAACCAAAACCAAACAAACCTAAACAAGCAAATCCCAGAAAGCATAAACAAACGGCAGGGTCAAAGACACTGAATTTACTTCTTAAAGTGCAATGGGAAACAAAATACTAGTGGACCAAAGTCCATGCTGTAATGCAGAGGTGCAACTTCAACTCTCTGCAGGGAGACTGGATGCAAACTCTGAATTCTGCTGATGGAAGTAATTATGCCTAAAATATTTTTGTTTGGCCATAATTCTTCAGTTATTTACATCTAGTGAGAGGCACTATGTTTTCAAGTGAGAATAAATGGCTTCTACTGGCAATTCAACTTTCTGCATTTAAAGTATCTCCCAGGTATATGCAGAAATACAAAGTATCAGAAAAACATTTGGTATGTGGAATATCTGTTTTATTTTTTCCATGCCAGGGAACAGGTATGGAAATTCTGGTCTGTGGCAATCTAGTCGTTACATACTGAAAAACACCTGAATCCCACTACAGTACAGCCACAACTAAGGCAAGTCTCAGGCCTGTTCCATGGATTGGTTTTGTAGCTTGGCTATGCCTGCTGGCAAAATAGTTCTCATCAAGGTTGTACTTTTCTTATATATTTCACTCATGAAGCACATATTTGTATTTCCAAACTGATGATACTTACTACGGAAACAGTAAGACCCAAGAAGCCAGTTACCTGCTAAATTATTTCACTCAGATTTGAGTGAAATGTAAGGCTCAGTGTAAAATTTACCGTGCCTTGCTCTCAAAACTTCCTTTTCCCATGCAAAATCAAAATAGAGAAACTTATTTTAGCTTATGTGCAGTTTAACTATGATTACAGAAATAAAAGTCAGACAAACACAAGCAATATTCCAAAAGAGCAGTTGCTCCGAAGATAGATTTTTACCTTCAGTGCAAGAAAGACATAGTAATATTGATGGCTCTATTATTACTTATTGATGCCATTTCACCTGAGAAGTAATGACTGAATGAAAGAACCTGTACTATTTAAAATATTCTTTGAAATAATTGAATATTAAAGTATTTTAATGTACTATTATAGTGAAAAAATGAAGCTAAATAATTGTAGACTTCAATTAAAATGCATGAGGGCTGCGAGTACAGCCAACAGAGCAACAATCAGGAAGTAAGAAATGCTTTGAGAAATTTCAGTGTTTTATTTGAAAAATGCAAAAATGAAAGTCATGCGGTGTTTATTAACCTAAATGAGAACCAGTATCGATTTATGAATCATATAAATATGGAACACGTGCCATGGAATAAAGTTTAATCCTGCATTAACATCATAGTTTTCAAACAGAACGTCAGTCAGAAAAACAAACTTATTTTTGGTGTCACACTGACACTATTAATCAGTTATCTTCGGAAAAGTATAATAAGATGACTGTCTTCTGATATGGTGATGAACTTGCACCCCCAAGTGGATACTCGCCCGAGCCGTGGGGCACTCGCGGGTCTGCTTTTCGCCATCCGGGAAGCAGCGAAAACTGGAAATTTCACAAGTACTTGTGTGAAATGCTTCAAAATACTGAGGTGAAGACACATGCAAAATAGCGTTATCGAGGAAAACTATCGGCAGCTTGGAAATCCCGAGTTGGCACAGGCTGCTGTTTAAGCACCGGTTCCTGCTTTCACACGGCATTTTTAAGCTCCGGGCTGAATTTAGGCGCGCGGCGGTTTCGCAGGGCCCTGGGCGCGGCCGCCGCTAACGGCTGCCCCGCCGTGCCCACGCCAACAGACCTGAAGGCCAACTTTTCTACTAGACGTTCTATGAGAAACCGTAAATGTCCAGCTAAATTTGATAACAGTGACAATGAAAGTGGTGATGCCTCTGACAGCAATTTGGAAAAAGTCAGTTCTGACAAGGAAACATCTGATAGAAGTGAATTTGAAGACAGTGAAAGTGAATGCAATGCTGATGGGGAGGGGCAAGAAGAGGAAATGTCAGGTGAAGATTCAGAGTCTGAAGAACAAAGTGAAAAAGAGCAGAATGATACTGAAGAGGTTTCTGAGGCAGTTGATTCAGTGGGAAATGTTCCTGAAGGCTTAGCTCCAGTCATCATTCATAGCAGTAGCAAAAAACTACTGCAGTGTCCCAAGTGTGACAAAAAATTTGATCGAATAGGTAAGAGCAAGTTAGGTTGATCTCCTTCCATTTTACCATATGGTGGTGCTATTTGTATGGGAAATAAACAGCTTTTTCTCTGTTCTAGAGAGTGAAGATCAGAATTTCTGAATGGTCTCACAGATCCAGTATGCTGCTAATTTTTCTACATGTATTAAGTTGTTATGTCTGTGGTGATAAAACAGTTTCAATAAATGGAGTGCATTATTGGAAAATTCTACAAATAGTAAATTTATTTCTTACTGCTGTGGATTCTAGTTGTTAGCATGGTATGTAAAAGCAGCCTTGAAAAATGAGGAAAATACAGCAAGATGTTAAACAGTAAATTGCATGAAGTCTGAGACCTGTACTGTATTTTCTGCCAAATTAATTTTAAGTAACAAAGCTGTCATTACTGCTGTAGTAAAACAGCACCATTGTCAAACAGCCTGATGGTCTTCTATTCTA